CCCCCCCCCCAAACCCAAAGGCCGAAGCGCAATACCCTCAACCCACGCTAATTACATTCAAAAAAAGCCGAAAAGGTCATTTGTAGGGTCACTAGTATCAGGCGGCCCCTGATATTTAGGCTACCCAAAACCCAAAACCCTAAACCCAAAACCCAAAAACCTAAACCCTATACCCTGAAGCCTAAACCCTAAACCCTAAGCCCTAAACCCCAAACCCAAAAAGGGACCTTAAGTTAGAGAACTCACATCTCACATGTAAGCTGCAAATCTTCAGAAGCTTCAGCCCCCCCAAGCCCTTCGAAAAACCGCTACATCCTCGAACCTCTACAAGCCCTGGACCCAACTCTGCCTAAACCCATCCCCCAAAGGTTTAGGGTTTTGGGTTTAGGGTTTCAACAAAACCCCCAATGCGCGAATGCGCTGGGTCCGGGGCAGTCTCGTCTTCCAGGTGCGGAGGAAACTGCGACAAGCTCCTTGAAGGTTTCGGGTTTAGGGTTTAGGGCTCGGGGGTTTATGGGCGCCAGGGTCAGGCACTTGCAGGCGCTGGGGTTTGGGGTTTGGGGTTCGGGGCTTGGGGTTTGGGGTTTGGGGTTTGGGGTTTGGGGTTTGGGTTTAGGGTTTAGGGTTTAGGGTTTAGGGTTTAGGGTTTAGGGTTTAGGGTTTAGGGTTTAGGGTTTGGGGTTTAGGGTTTAGGGTTTAGGATGCCAAAACTCTCACCTTGGGGTGGCAGAGTCTCCCCTGCTCGTCCGGAACATCCGGCCTCTTACATGGCTCCCTCTGACCCATCCCCCTTACTTCCAAGGGGGTTTAGGGTTTAGGGTTTAGGGTTTAGGGTTTCGGGTTTAGGATCCACCCCACCGCCCTCGAACTTGCGCGGAGAGTCTTGATGTCAGGGCATGAGTGGGTCTGTTTTGGGGGGAGGGAGGTGAGGAAACCCTTCAGCCCAAACCATAAAGCCCTAAACCCTCAAACCGAAAAACCGAGACCCTGAAAACACTCAATCTCCAAGACCTAAACCCCTTTCAAACAAAATACCAGTACAACACCGAAAAACTAGGGCAACGTCACTCCTAGGACGCCAGGTTTTTGGGCGGCTTGGGGTGTAGGGCAACCCCTAAACCCTAACCCCTAACCCCTAACCCCTAACCCCTAAACCCTAAACCCTAACCCCTAAACCCTAAACCCTAAACCCTAAACCCTAAACCCTAAACCCTAAACCCTAAACCCTAAACCCCAACCCCTAAACCCTAAACCCCAAACAGAAGCCATAGGGGGATGCCCTTCAGGGGCCACGGCATGGAATCTTCCACGTTCGAAGTCAGCTGCATGAGCCTCTTAAGTTTCAGGGATCTCCGAGACTGGGGTTTGAGGGTTTTCGGGGTTTGAGGGTTTTAGGGTTCAGGGTTTTAGGGTTTAGGGTTTAGGGTTTAGGGTTTAGGGTTTAGGGTTTAGGGTTTAGGGTTTAGGGTTTCAGGGTTTTAGGGATTTAGGGTGTTAGGGTTCAGGGCTTATTTTGGGGTTTGAGGGGAAATTAAGTGTTCTAGGCTTCAGGGATCTCAGGGTTTGGGGGCTTCTGAGGGTTTTTAGGGGCGATGGGGGTTGCTCTTGGTTTAGGGTCTGGGGTCTATTTGGGGTCTGAAGGTTTGAGGGCTTAGGGCTTTTTTAGGGCTTAGCGTTTTGGGGTTTTGGGGCGTTTTTGGTTTAGAGCTTTCGGGCTTTTAGGGGCGGATTGGGACGGTTGAGGGTTTTAGGGTTTCGGGTTTGAGACTCGGCTTCTTGTGGGCTTTAGGCTTTGAAGGGTTTATGGCTTGAGGGTTCACTGGTAATGGGAAGGGTGTAGTGAAGAAAAGACATGGCCCCCGCCTCTCCCCCACCCCCGCCCCCACCCCCGCACCCCCTCCACCTCCTACAAAGAACCCCTATGACCTGAAAACGAACTACCCTAAACCCTAAACCCTAAACCCTAAACCCTAAACCCTAAATCCTGATCATGTCCTCCACCTTATCACGAAACTCAGCTGCCGACGAGTCTTCATTCTCGACGTCCACCTTCTCCGAGCCTGAGAATGCGAGGGAGACAGAGTGTTGCAGGGCTTAGGGGCCCTAAACCCTAAACCCTAAACCCCTGAAAGTCTAAACCCCTAAACCCCTAAACCCTAAGCCCCGAACCCTCAACTTGAAACCCCAAACAACTTAGGGTTGTCCGGTTTGGGGTTTGCGGTCATTCTCCCCTTTCCCCGCCCCCCAGCCATGGCCCCCTGAGGGTGGGGGGGGGGGGGGGGGTGGGTATGGGTGCAGGGTTGAAGGTTTAGGGTATAGGGTTTAGGGTTTAGGGTTCAGGGTTTAGGGTTAGGGTTGAGGGTTTAGGATGTCAAGTTGTAGGGTCTCAACGCCTTCATGAGAGCAAGCCCTGACCCCCCTATTGATCCCCTGCGGATCGGCTGCATGAGGGTTCTGGACTCGCAGAAAGCCAGAAACTCCAATACCCCATAAAAAGGAATATTGCTCAAAGTATTAGAGTCTTTCCCTAAACCCTAAACCCTAAACCCTAAACCCTAAACCCTAAACCCTAAACCCTAAACCCTAAACCCTAAACCCTAAACCCAAAATTTACGGCACCGGGGTTGGAGAGCCTGCAACATCATCGCGGACAGAGCGGTCTAGGGCTTCGGGTAATTTGAGGCTTAGGGAAACCCCATGGACCCTAAACGAAACCAGTAACCCGAAACCCTAAACCCCAAACCCTAAACCCTAGCCCTAAACCCTAAACCCTAAACCCTAGAACTGGCGCACGCTGCAAACCCCAAGCGTACCCAGATATTCTCAGCTCGCTGCGCTCAATGATCACGGTGTGGCGGTAGGAATCATCCACCTGCGCGGGGGGAAAAACCAACCCTGCAAACCCCACATGCATACACCCTAAACCATAGCTCCTCAACACTGAACCAAAATCTATGCAAATCTTTCAGTAAGGCCAAACACGCCCAAACAAAAGCTTAACGCCGCCCAAAAAAACCTAAAACCCTTCTAACACCCCGCCCCTCCCTTAAAAACAGAACAGCAAAAGAACATAGCACAAGATAATCACAGCAATAATCACAGTAATAACAGTAGAACGGTAAAACAAGTTCTCTAGCAATGGCAATATAAATGTACATATATATATATATATATACACATTATATATATGTGTGTGTATACATTTATATGTATGTAAAGCCCTAAACCCTAAACCCTAAACTCTAAACCCTAAGCCCTGAAACCCTAAACCCAAAACCCAAAAACCCTAAACCCTAAACCACAATCAAGGACCGCTATAGGGCTAAAACCCCAAACCCCTGAACCCGTAGGGTTTAGGGTTTAGGCTTTAGGGTCTAGGGTTTAGGGTTTAGAGCACCCGCAGAACAACCGAACTTACAAAGGTAAACCCTAAACCCTAAACCCTGAAACCCAGAGAGCCCCTAAACCCTAAACCCTAAACCCTAAAGCCCGAAATCCTGAAACCCGAAACCCTGACCCCCTGAAGCCTTAACAAATATACTGAAAAAACCCTAGACAAGAACCTTAACCCTAAAGAACAACCTAAACCCTAACAAAACCTAAAACGCCCTAAACCCTGGAAACAACCTACACCTTATAACAAAAACACAAATAAACTGAACCCGGAAAAAACCTAAACCCTAGACCACAACTATCCCATTTCATTCTGAAACCCGAAACCCTAAACCCTAAACCACTGGACCCTAAACCCTAAACCCTAAACCCTAAGCCCTAAACCCTAAACCACGACTATCCTATCTCATTCGGTGGCTTTTGTCGACCAAAGCTCTACCCTAAACCCTAAACCCTAAACCCTAAACCCTAGACCATAAACCCTAAACCCTAAACCCTAAACCCGAATCCCCCTGTCCTTGGGTGGCTTTTCTCGGCCAAAGCTCTACGCAAACCCTTGGGTTGCTCTCAGCTGCGCTGCTCCGCGAGCAGGAGCCTCGCCGCAGCAGGGTTTAGGGTTTAGGGTTTAGGGTTTAGGGTTTAGGGTTGAGGGTTTAGGGTTTAGGGTTTAGGGTTTAGGGTTGTTACATGGTCCCTTCATGTGGTCCCTGACCTCCTCTAAAGTGTTCTGAAGTATGGGCTCTTGGCTTGTATAGGGTTTTTTTCTTCGAAACTTAGGGTTTAGGGTTTAGGGTTTAGGGTATCCTGATTTCTGGGGCTCCTTTAGACAGCTTGGGGCCTTTTTGGGGTCTATAGAGGGCGTTTAGGGGCTACTAGCTTTTGCTGTATGTCTTGTTGGTTGTCTTAGGGTTTGAAGGGTTGTTGCTGTGTTTTTGAGGGTTTAGGGGAGGCCAGGGTTCTTAGGGTGTTTAGGATGCACAGGGTTTCTGTTAAGGTTTGTAGGCTTAGGTGTTTAGGGGAGTATTAAAGAGGCTTAAGTTTAGGTGAGCTTGAGGCGTTTGGGTCAAAGTTTGTGGGGTTTAGGAGTCAAAGGGGTCAAAGAGGGCCTGAGATCAAGTGTTAGGAGTCCAAAGCGGGTTTATCGGGTTTCGGGTGTATGGGGTTAATGGAGCCTTGCGGCTAAGGGTTCAGCAAATCCCATATCTATCGCTTCAGGTTCCCAAAAAACCCTTAAAACAGTGTCTTTTTACTCAATGGGGTATTTGGACCCTCTTGGGAGGGTGAAGGTTTATTTAGGAGGTTCGACAGAGACGCTGGCGGTCATTCTCTCACTTGCTGATTCTCGGCATGGGTCCCAGAATGGGCACCTGATCCCTGCTGCACAAAACAGCCCAACCCTCCTATCAAAGGGGCAGATGACTTGGTTGCAGCCTACACCCTATACTGCCTAAACCTTCCAAAGAGCCCAATACCGCTCCACTTACGGAATACACCTCAATCATGTTCAGGATCCCTAATATTAATTAAGGAATTTTCCTGAACTTGAGGGATATTGGGCTCTTTTTGTTGGCCTAAATCCTTATCCTGAAGGCCCCAGAAAGCAGCGCTCATGCCCGCACCAGGCGCAGCAATGCCAGCCGCAAGCTGCCCAAGAAGCGCAGCCTTCGCACCTCCAATGAGGAGGCTCCCTGCCACACGCCGCTGCGGTCGCATGCGCTCACCTCGCTCACAGCATCTAGCACAGCCTTACACTACTAGAGTCCCCTATAAGAAGGTGTACGAAAGTATAGGTCTTATTACTAGTATCCTCAAAAGGACAGCAACTATACGTTCACCGAATAGTGAGAAGGCACAAGATACACTCACCAACAACAATAAAACAGACCCTGTCCCAAAGGGACCGCTAAGGCTTTCAGGATTCGGTTTAGGGTTTAGGGCTAGGGTTTAGGGTTTAGGGTTTAGGGCTCAGGGTTTCATCCCCAAGGCACTGCCGCACTGAACGAGATCACGTCACCTTGCAGCTGCTTCATGCCCATCTCTTCGACCAGGAGATGCGCATGCTGCCACTGCCCTGCCCCCTCGCCTTAGGGTTTAGGGTTTAGGGTTTGGGGTTTAGGGTTTAGGGCTAGGGTTTAGGGTTTAGGGTTTAGGGTTTAGGGTTTAGGGTTTAGGGTTTAGGGTTTAGGGTTTAGGGTTTAGGGTTTAGGGTTTAGGGTTTAGGGTTTAGGGTTTAGGGTTTAGGGTGTGGGGTTTGGGGTTTGGGGTTTGCATGTCCTTGAGCTCTACACAGCAAGCACCCAACATGGTTCCTAGTTTAAGGAGAATCTCACGCAAAACGCATGCGAATCCTAAACCCTAAGCCCTGAACCCTGACCCTATAAAACCCTGAACCCTAAACCCGAACCCTGAACCCTAAACAAAAACCCTAAACCCAAAACCCAAAACCCAAAACCCAAAACCCTAAACCCTAAACCCCAAACCCTAAGCCCGAGCCACATGCGAGGATTGCGGAGTTGTAGGTCACGAGATCGGCTCGCAAACGGCTGGCCCGAATCTCGCAGAGAAGCGCGCAGCTCCTGTCAGGGCCAGCGCTAGGCTACGAGGAAGAGAAAGGTTTAGGGTTTAGGGTTTAGGGTTTAGGGTTTAGGGTTTAGGGTTTAGGGTTTAGGGATTCGGGTTTCGGGCTTTCGGGTATAGGGTTTCGGGCTTTCGGGTATAGGGTTTAAAGTTTAGGGCTACCTCTCTAAACCAAACCCCTAAACCCTAAAGTCCTAACTAAGCTGTACACCCTAAACCCTAAACCCTAAACAAAAAAAAACCAAAACCCCAAACCCCAAACCCCAAACCCTAAACCCTAAACCCGAAACCCTAAACTCCCCAAAGGCAAGGCCAAGCGCCTCTCCCAGGCGAGGCCCCGGGCGTGAGCACTGACGGCGGCCCCGAAGGTCACGATGTCGGGCCGCAGCCCTTTCTTGGGCTTGGGGTTTAGGGTTTAGGGTTTAGGGTTTAGGGTTTAGGGTTTAGGGTTTAGGGTTTAGGGTTTAGGGTTTGGGGTTGAGGGTTTAGGGTTTGGGGTTTGGGGTTTAGGGTTGAGGGTTTGGGGTTTAGGGTTTAGGATTTGGGGTTTAGGGTTTAGGGTTTAGGGTTTAGGGTTTGTGGTTTGGGGTTTAGGGTTTAGGGTTTAGGGATTAGGGTTGAGGGCTTGGGGTTTGGGGTTGAGGGTTGAGGGCTTGGGGTTTGGGGTTTAGGGTTTGGGGTTTGGGGTTTAGGGTTTGGGGCTTAGGGTAGCCCATTGGGTACTTGTGTTCTTCGTGGGCTAATTCATAAGGGAACCTTGAAGCAAAAAAAGGAAAGGCTACCACTGGGCTACCAGGTGGGGCCAACGAAGGCTTAGCCGGTTTAGGGTTCTAGACCCCAAACCCTCAGCCCTAAACCAGCTATGGAGTCGGGCGTAGGAATGTGGGTGTTGGGCTTATAGCCGCTAGGAATTTGGGTTGAATTCTGGAGTAGGGCTTAGGAGTTTGCTAGGGTTTATAGGGTTTAGGGTTTAGGGTTTGGGTAGGGTTTAGGGTTTAGGGTTTAGGGATTGCGCTTTATGCCGGGATTCGCACTCAACAGCGGGGGCTTAGGGATGAAGAGGGTTCAACGTACAGTCCAGTGGTTTCAGGGGTGTCAAAAAGAAACCCAAGCCCTGGTTAACTTCGTTCATATAAAGGGTTTAGGGTTTAGGGGTCCCACCCCCCTAGAACCCGAAACCCGACAGCCTCAAAAGCCTCAAAACCCCCCCCCCCCCCCCCCTAAACCCTCAAACCCCTCAACCCCTAAACCCTCAAACCCCAAACCCTACACCCCAAACCCTAAACCCTAACTGTCACTAACCCTAAACCCTAAACCCTAAAACCTAAACCCTAAACCCTAAACCCTAAACCCTAAACCCTAAACCCTACACGGAGCCTTGGTGGTAGAGGTACCTCATGAGCTCCAGGGACCACTGCCACTCGCTCCCCTCCACCAGTGCAGCCATGGCGGCGTTGTAGGTGACCTCGGGCTTAGGTTTCAGTTCTAGTAGTTTAGGGTTTAGGGTTTAGGGTTTAGGGCGTCAGGAGTTTACGTATAGGGCTTTGGTGTTTAATTATGGTTTAGAGAAAACCCAAAACCCTAAACCCTAAACGCTAAACCCTAAACCCTAAACCCTAAACCCTAAACCCTAAACCTTGAATCCAACATCTTCAGAGCGAACTGCTGAGACCAGGCCAAGCATCAAGGTTGGGCTTCAGCGTGCGATGCTTCATGTCCTAGGGCTTCCCGGAAGGTTTAGGGTTTAGGGTTTAGGGTTTAGGGTTTAGGGTTTAGGGTTTAGGGTTTCGGGTTTAGGGTTTAGGGTTTAGGGTTTAGGGTTTAGGGCTTCCCAGTATCCAAACCGAAGACGGAATAGTACGACTCTACGAGTGCCGTCGATCCGGGTTAGGTCAGTGGAGGCTAGCTTGGGGTTGGCAAGTTGCTCCTGATGTGGCTTGGCCTCGGCAACTAAACGCTATGTGATTCATGATGTCTTGTGCTGACAGGAGGAGGGTGAGTTCAGAACGTACGACAGGGCAATGTAGGCTCCAGTGTGTAACCTGATTTGGGGTTTAGGGTTTACAAGACGTCCCATAATTAAGCCTAGACCCATGGAAAAATAAAGAAAAAACGGTAAAACCCTAAACCCTAAACCCTAAACCCTAAACCATTCTGCCCTTAGCGTCGGACATCAGTAGCATGGCCACTTGCCAGTGCAGGGCCTTGCCGCACGCGGTCACGAGCGCGCTGTAGGTGAAGACGTCAGCTTGCACAGCGTGGTCGCCTATGCCTTCCAGAACCTTGCGTGGGTTTGGGTTTAGGGTTTGGGGCTTAGGGTTAGGGGTTTAGGGTTTGGGTTTAGGGTTTAGGGTTTAGGGCTTAGGGTTTAGGGTTTAGGGTTTAGGGTTTAGGGCTTAGGGCTTAGGGCTTAGGGCTTAGGGGTTAGGGTTTTGACGGTTTAGGGTTTAGGGTTTAGGCAGGGGTTTAGGACTTAGTAAGTGGGTACAGAGTAGAGAGAGAGAATATAAATGAAGCAGAGACACTTATTGGGGCTTTTCTTTTTGAGAACCCCTACTTATAATTTACTTTCTAAGTAGCTCGTGCTTTCCAGAAACGTGGAACGCCGAAGAGAGCCTATACCGGCTTTGTTATGGTTCACATACCTTCATGGTGGTTCCAGTCGTATTTGCGTAAATGGGACTATTTTAGGGTTCACTCCAACTGAACATAAGCAATAGGACTCAGGACATATGCCGCTTTTTTAAAAGTTTTTTGGGTCGCCAAGGAACGACCAGTGCCTCCTGCCAAGCCGTCCCCTTCTCGCACGAGCTTATCGCAGCACTGCAAGTGACTACGGTCGGTCGCAACAACCTGGCGGACCAAACGAACCCTAAACATGCGAATCATATACCCTTGGTTTAGGGTTTAGGGTTTCCTTTACTACTGCAACCCCATAATTTAGGTATAAGGACCATAAACCCGTTTGGGCTTCATGTGGTCGCCAAGGAACAGGCATGCAATGCCCTGCAACACCTGCAGAGCTCTCAGCCACTGCGCGCCCTTCTCACACGCACTGATGGCGGAGTTGTGGGAGACAATATCCTAGGTTCCAGGATTTAGAGTTTAGGGTCTATAGGGTTTAGGGTAACCTAAAAATAACAGGGCATCACATGGAATGGGGCTTCTAAAGGAACCATAGCTTCAGTCTCGCATGCATACAACTCTAAACCCTAACCCCTGAACCAAAGATTTTGGGTTAAGGGATTTGGGGGTTAGCAAAATCTAAACCCTACACCGAGAAAGAAGGGGAAACAAGAGAGAAAGGTACCGCAGGTGATCCTGGTATCCCTACGTACCTCTGGAGTAGACACTGGAAGAAAAGTATATACTGTTTAGGTGTATGTAGCTATAGTAGGAACCCTAGAACCAAACAAAAGTACTAATGTATAGGATTTGAATAGGAACCCAGAACCAAAAACAAGTATTAAAGTATAGTACTCCGAAACCCAGTATCTGGAACTGGAAGGAGAAGGGAAGCTGCCGCCAGCGCAAGGCTGGCAATGGCCAGCTTCCACGTCCGGCCGCGAACCTTGGGGAACGAAAAGGGAAGCCCTCACAGGGGCTTGAGGGTTTAGGGCTTTAGATGGGTGTGGGGTTTAGGGTTTAGGGTTTAGGGTTTAGGGTTTAGGGTTTAGGGTTTAGGGTTTAGGGTTTAGGGGTTCGGAGTATGGATCACCTGGTGCCCAAGGTGCGCATGCATGGATGGATCGATTGTAGCTCACCACAGAGGTCTCCAGATGCTGCTGGAGCAACTCCTGCGGTTTAGGGTTTAGGGTTTAGGGTTTGGGGTTTGGGGTTTGGGGTTTGGGGTTTGGGGTTTAGGGTTTAGGGTTTGGGGTTTAGGGTTTAGGGCAACGCCTAAACCGTAAGGCCAAAGGGTTTATGGGGTGTAGGGATACGAAGCTGCTACTCGTAACCGCAACATACCCCAGATGAGCGTCGGATTTTATTTGCTGGCGGGCGCAATGAGCCTATTTTAATGTTCGGTCCCTGATCTCGTTTGCCTTACAACACCTCTTCCGGGCCAATGTCGTCTTAAGGGGTGATCTCGTTCAGTATTAAATAGTACTTGGAGTGTAGTGAGTGGTATAGTTGCCCTGAACCTTCGCCCGGTAACCCATAGTGCTTCTCTGAGCAACTCTGCCATTTTCACCCGTTTACGGTTAGGGTTTAGGGAGCAGGGCCCAAGTTGTTGCGAAGACGTGCCCCAGTACTCTTGTTGCCTCCGTGGAAAGCAACCAAACAGGAGACACTTCACTCCAAAACTGGCCCTAAACCTTCCAGCCCTGTCTCAATAACTCCTAAACCCGAGTCCTTGTGATTGTGCCTCCCATGGCCCTCTGGCTTCCCTAGCTGCCTTCGTGCAATTTTTTGATCACGTTTGGATCACGTTTGGATCTCGTTTGGGATCGGCAGCAATCTCCAGGCAATCCCCAACCTGGGCCGAAGCGGTTGAGCCTCAAAGGCTTCTGAGTCTAAGCGGTTCAAAGCACAGCCGCCGTTCCCAGCGAGCAGCTTTTGCCAGCAATAGCCTACGCGAAACCAACTCTTCATCGTTTAGCGAACGCCTTCACACAACTAATACAACTATATACATGGTGGCTATGCATATATGACTAAACAAAGGCTTAGTTATACATATATATATAAATATAATAGGTACAGATAAGGATTATGTATGCAGTATAATTATGCAAGTAAACAAGTACAAGTATAAATTTCTTCATTCTACAACATGATCTCGTTTGATGTTCGGCCCCGATCTCGTTACCGAGAGAGAGCGACACCCCAACCAAAAAATAGGGCACATCCAAAGTAACTCTGCTCGTGCGTAAATAAAAGCGGTTGCTCAGATGAGTCCCCTGATGCGCGAAATTGGAAGCCCCAACCCGAAACCCAGAAAAAAAAAAAAAAACCTGAGCTCCTAAACCCTAGACCCCCAAACCCCAAAAACCCTGAACCCTAAAACCCTAAAACCCTAAACCCTAAACCCTAAACCCTAAAACCCTAAACCCTACAAATCTTGCTCAACCTTAGCTCCTGCAGCTCTGAGATGGAGGTGGTCCACGAACCGACGGGCCCCGGCTGATGCCGCTGCATGAGAGGGTTTAGGGTTTAGGGTTTAGGGTTTAGGGTTTGGGGCTTAGGGTTTAGGGTTTGGGGTTTAGGGTTTGGGGTTTAGGGTTTAGGGTTTAGGGGGTTTGGGGTTTAGGGTTTGGGGTTTAGGGTATGGGTCTGGCACTTAGGGTTTTGGGGTTTAGGTCTCAGGGTTTGGGGGTTAGAGGGCTTGGTGTTTAGGAGGGTTTGGGGTGTAGGTTTTGGGGGGTTAGGGGCTCTAGGGTTTGGGGTTTCGGGTTTGAGGGTCAGGGGTTCCAGGGTTTGGAAATTTAGGGTTTGAGGTGTAGGGTTTGGGGTTTAGAATGTAGGGCTTGGGGGCTATATGGGGACTGTGTCTGAATCATGGACCCTTCTAAACCTCAAAACCGTACCCAAGCGTGGGCAACAAGATGCGCAGACAGACTCATCCCTAAACAACTCAACGAACCCTAGACACCCTGAACCCTGTTCACCCCAAGCCCTAAACCCTATATCCTAAACCCTAAACCCTAAACAACCTCAACATTTATTTATTCAAATTGTGTTGGATATGAAATGCCCTAAACCCTTTAAACCCGAAACCCGGCACATGGTTGAGCCGACGGCCGAAGCGCAGGGACCCAGGAGCGGCCCTCGACATCCTAAACGCTGAAGCCTGAAGCCCGACAGTGCCTTTAAGGTTGGTTTTAGGCTTTAGGTTTTAGGGTGTAGGGTTTAGGGCTAGGGTTTAGGGTTTAGGTTCAGGGGTTGAGGGTTGAGGGGTTTAGGGTTAGGGTTTCGGCTTTAAGGTTTAGGGTTGGGGGGTTCGGGTTCTTCAGGCAGCGAAAGAGTTTTTAAGCGGCTGTCAGCATGCTCAGGACTTGCCATCGGGCTTTGTCGACTCTTTGGGGGGGGGGGGGGGGGGTTCGGAAGTCCTAAACGGACCCACATGCCCCTGAGACCAATAACCCAAATCCCCCACTCACGGTTTAATGGTTAGGGAGAAGGGGGGCTTAGGGGTTTAGGGGTCTCGAATTCAGGGTTTAGGGTTTAGGGTTCAGGGTTTAGGTTCAGGGTTTAGGTTTGGGTTGAGAGGTTTGGGGTCTAGAGCTTGAGGGATGAAGGGCTTAGGGGTTTAGGGGTCTCGGGATTTAGGGTTTAGGGTTTAGGGGTTTGGGGTTTAGGGTTTAGGGTTGAGGGGGCCCTAACCCCCAAAACCCCTGGAACTTCAGGAACCCCAAACCGACCCCAAAGCCTGCCAAAGATCGACGACTTAGGGTTTAGGGTTTAGGGCTCAAAGCCTTGAACCTTCAACCCTAAACCCCGACTAGGCTCCCAAAAAAAAAACCTCCAAAATCCCCACACCTCAACCCCACGCCCTCCCCAAGCCCGAAACCCTAGACCTCAAGAAAGCCTGAGCTGGTTTGAGATTCCAGGCTGAACCCCAAAATCCCCCAAAAGGCAGGGTTTATGGGCTCAGGGTTTTTTTGACCCTAAACCCCAAACTCGAAACCCCAGAGTAGCCTACTTTGGAACCAAGGTGGTTTAGGGTTTAGGGTTCAGGGCTCGGGTTTAGGGTTTAGGGTTTAGGTTTAGGGTTTAGGGTTTAGGGTTTAGGGTTTCGGGTTTCGGGTTTAGGGTTTAGGGTTTAGGCCTGTGCGGCCCCCCAACATCGTTGAGCAGCACGTGGCGCTGGATGAGGACGTTCGTGCCTTGGCCAGCTCTAGGGCTTAGGTTTTTTGGGGCGCTGGGGTACCCTAACCCTAAACCCTAAACCCTAAACCCTAAACCCAAAACCCCAAACCCAAACCCCAACCCTAAACCCTAAACCCTAAACCCTAAACCCTAAACCCTAAACCCTAAACCCTAACCCTAAAGGTTCTGGTTCTTGGGGGGTCAGGTTGGAGTTTAGGATCTGGACTTCCCGGGGCATAGGGAATGAACTCGGGCATTTGGTGGGGCCGGGACGCGGTGTGGGGCTTTACGGTTTGCAGGGAGGCTGTTGAGGGTCTAGGGCGAGCAGTTTCTCCCCAATCCCCCTACTAAAGGGTATCCGTGGTCGGAGTTTGGTGGCTTCGGGCTTAGGGTGAGGGTTTAGGGTTTGGGGTTTGGGGCTTAGGGTTTGGGGACCCAGAGACGTTGTGCACGAGCGGCAGCTTCAGCAGACTTCAGGAGACGCAATGGCCATACCGAGGCTATCGACCTACCTGGCGGTTCACGGTCCTTATCAAATTCTAACTGTACTTAGAACCCACTTACAAGCCCCTTCAGTGCCCCAATAGTTTATAAGTACAGCAGTTATACCTCCAAGTAGCTTGCGAGTCTTCTGTTATGTGATGGTTTGTAAGCCCTGGGATGTTTCCCCCTTCTACTAACAGTCCTTAATGGGGACTATAGTACCCCCCACTACAATCCCTACGAAGGACTGTTTTTTCAGGGGGAACATCCCAATGTAAGCCCTACAAAAGGCCCTTAACCCTATAAGACCTAGGCTAAGCACACCCCCCGTTCTTCAGGCCCCCCCCCCCCCCCCCCCCCAGGTCGCCAGGCGCGCGACTTTTTCCGGGCTCCAAGAGCGAAAATCGAGGCTGCACATGTGCGAGCTTCCTGAAAATGGACTTCCTGGGCTAAGCCGCAGGGCAAAGGAGCTGCTGGCTTATTCAACCTACAACCCTAAACCCTAAACACCCAAACCCTAAACCCTCAAAGCCTAAAACCCTAAACCCTACGTAGCAACCCTGTGATCATCATGGACTTTACTTTTAAGAAGCTTTGTCGAAGGGACCCGAATCTAAGGTTTGAAGGACTTTTGGTGGAAGACATGTGGTGTTCTGGAGTCTCTGTAAGCGCTACACACTCGAACACCCAAACAAAGAACTCCTGGCGTCAGCGACGCAATAGCCCGCGTAGGGTTTAGGGTTTAAGGTTTGGGATTTAGGGCTCAGGGCTCAGGGTTTAGGGTTTAGCGTTTAGGGTTTAGGGCTTAGTCTTTGGGGTTTAGCGTTTAGGAAACTCCTCCATCATGAAATTCGAAGTCCCTGGAAGCCACACACATCCTTCGAGCCGCGAGAACCCAAAAATGCAATTCGTATAGGGTCTACTCCGTTCAGGGTCTAGGGTTTATAAGGAAACCCTGAAACTCCTAAACCCTAATTCCTTAAACCCTTCAACCCTCAAACCACGCCACGGCTCCATGGGCTAAGCACTTCAGGAGTTTAGGGGCTGAGGGCCCCTGCACCCTAAACCCTAAACCCTAAACCCTAAACCCTAAACCTAAACCCTAAACCCTAAACCCTAAACCCTAAACCCTAAACCCTAAACCCTAAACCCTAAACAAGCTTAGGGGACGTTCGCCCTCAGAAGACTCAGAACAGGGAGGCCTTTGTCTTCGATGCCTGTCCATGAAAGTAACTGATGATAAAGAAAACAATCATGGGTTTCCCTACTACCCCCCCCCCTCTATACTCTTTTTGAGTTTAGGGTTTAGGGTTTAGGGTTTAGGGTTTAGGGACTAGGGTTCAGGGTTTAGGGCTACTACCCCCCCTAGGTTCCCCCCCTAATTAACGCTATTTAGGGATAATTAAGCTTAATTAAGGCTATTTAAGGGCGGAACCTAGGGGGCGTAGTATAGAGCGGGGTAGTAGGGAAGCCCATGAAACAACAAAGAGACTAAGGTTTTGGGTTCAGGGGGTTTGCGGGGATTGGAGGTTTAGAGGGTTCATAGGGCTTCTAGGGTTTCTAGGGCTTGTAGGGTTTATCGGGTTGACAGGGTTTGGGGTGTAGGGTTTAGGGTAGGCTTTGGGCTAGGTTTACTGCTTTGAAAGTGAGCGTAGGAACGCAAAAGGACCTGAAGCTGTGTATGAACCCTAAGCCCTACATAAGCCCTAAAGTATAAACCCAACCTGTTTTCCTAGAAGAAGAGGGGAAAGGAGGCACCTCTGGCCATCCTTGGGAAGGAAGGCTTTAAGGGTTCTGGGCGCACAGGGGGCCTCAAAGAGGAATTTATGTTTAGGGTTTAGGGTTTAGGGTTTAGGGTTTAGGGTTTAGGGTTTAGGGTTTAGGGTTTTGGGTTTAGGGCTTAGGGCTCATGAGTTGAATGTGGAATGTTTGGGGCTTCGGGTTTGGGGTGGACCTCTCATGTCACCAAAACAGCTTCAGGGCTGAGTGCTCAAGGCTCTAAAGGGGGTTTAGGGTTTAGGGTTTAGGGTTTAGGGTTTAGGGTTTAGGGTTTAGGGGGTTTGTAGGGAAGCAAGTTGAGCTTTCTTTGGGTTCAGTCTGAGCGTCTAGGGCTTGCTTTTGGCTTTGTACAGGGTTGGGCTCCAACCAAGTCTCCCAGAACCTAGGACACTAAGGGAACTCAACACAATTAAGCCCTACACCCTCCCGCCTAAATGCCTTAAGCCCACTAAAAGCCTCAATCCAGGGGGCCTAAACCCTAAACCCTAAACCCTAAACCCTAAACCCTAAACCCTAAACCCTAAACCCTAAACCCTAAACCCTAAACCCCTAAACCTTCAACCCTAAACCCTGAAACCCTAAACGTCAAAGGCGCCTTAGGCGCAGAGGCCTCAGAACAGGGAAAGGACCCATTTCGAGGCCTGTCGGAAGAAGAGGGGCTCTAGGTTCCTAGATTGCCCAGCAAGCCAAAAAAGAAAGCCTGTAGGGGACCCATAATCTTGTTCCCCTATAGATACTACCTTATCCTAAGTAGCCCGCAAATAGCCCCCAAAGAGCCACCAAGGTCCCTTTCAAGCCTTTATTTAGTCCCTTGATACCTTCACCCCAAGGCACTGAGGACTCTTATCTTTGGGGAGCCAAAGACTACGCTGAACAAGGCTTTTGGGCGATTTTGAGCTTTGGCAACCCTGAACCCTACACCCTAATCCCAAAACCCTAAACCCAAGAAAGATGTTTGGCTTAGAAAAAAGCCCCGCAGGTAGTCTTCAGGAGGGTTACGTGCGTGCGGAAGATAGAATTCAGGTTTCCTTACACACGCGAGCCAGCTAGCTACCCGTGAATCGTCAAGCAATCCTCAAACCCCCACTTCCCAAACCCTAAACTTTCAACCCCAAACCTTCAACCCTGGCCCTAAACTCTAAATCCTAAACCCTACATAGGGCCTAAACCCTACTTCACCGCCCCAGACCACCGAAAGGACGCTAAACCCCCTAAACCCCCTAAACCCCCTAAACCCCCTAAACCCCCTAAACCCCCTAAACCCCCTAAACCCCCTAAACCCTAAACCCTAAACCCTGAACCCTGAACCCTGAACCCCGTAGCCAGCGCCTGCTTCGGGTCGCCCTCTGGCGCCGTGCCAGGCCTGGGATCCCCAGACCCTTGGGAGGATCCGAAAAGTAGAAACCCCCCAAACCCTAAACCCTAAACCCTAAACCCTAACCCCCGAACCCGAAACCCTATATACCTTAAACCCTAAGCCGTAAACCCTCAACACAAAACCAAAAACCCTAAACCATAGAGGGATCTATTTGGGATCCTCCCGGGGGTCTGGGATTTGGAGCGGGCTGAAGCGACTTGAGGGGGTTTAGAGGTCTAAGCTTTAGCCCAAAACCCAAAACCCTACGATTTCTAAGCCCTAAACCCTAAACCCATAAACCCTATAAATGAACCCTAACCTTGTGAAAAACTATAAGCCCTTTAAACCCTGTAAACCCCCCAAAAACCCTACAACCCGGCGAGTGGCACAAACTTCAGGGCGGCGGCGTTGATGCAGTATCGCTTGCCTGGCCGAGGACCCTAAACCCTAAACCCTAAACCCTCAACCCTAAACCCTAAACCCTAAACCCTCAACCCTGAACCCTAAACCCTAAACCCTAAACCCTACGGGTTTAGTAGAGTGGCGGAGGCCAGGCTTAGGGCTTCGTATTCGTGAAGGTTGCAGGAAAGTGACAAGGACTGCAAGGCTCAGAGAGCTAGTAGATGGTCAAGGAGGTCGATGTGGGGGTGTTGATTTTTAACCCTAAACCCTAAACCCTAAACCCTAAACCCTAAACCCTAAACCCTAAACCCTAAACCCTAAACCCTAAACCCTAAAGAAGTGGATGTGAGGAAGGGCAACTCCAGACCTGCAACTTTGTGCAACCCCCATACTTGTAGCTCGCAGCCCTATTTGCCCTGAACCCTTCTGCCGCCCAGAAACCGCAGACCTTTAGGGTTTAGGGTTTAGGGTTTAGGGTTTAGGGTTTAGGGTTTAGGGTTTAGGGTTTAGGGTTTAGGGTTTAGGGTTTACCCAGAATACGGGTGTAGGGTTAAACGTTATACCACTATGTGCTTAGGAACCCCCAAGAAAGGAAAACAAAAAGAAAACAGAATCCCTACATCACCCTTAGAAGGAAGAACACTCTTCATGTTTTGCGGGGTTCTTAAACAATTGGTAGCATAAGGTTTACGGTACCACTCAATTGTCAGGACCGGGAAAAGCCTGTCGGTGGCGGGCCGTCGTTGAAGACGTGGCCAAGGTGTGTGCCAGAGGCACGATCCAGGACCTGCCAAGGAGGAACAGGAAACCCACGGTTTCGGGTTTAGGGTTTAGGGTTTAGGGTTTAGGGTTTAGGGTTTAGGGTTTAGGGTTTAGGGTTTAGAGATCGCCTAAGCCCTGCCTCAAATTTAGGGTTTCGCGGGATTAGGAACTGGAATTTCAGGCTTCGGAAGGCCCCGAAATCAGACCTACCACCTCAGGGGTGACAGTCCTTACTGCGAGAACGTGACACCCTAAACCCTAAACCCTAAACCCTAAACCCTAAACCCTAAACCCTAAACCCTAAACCCTACGGGTTTAGCAGAGTGGCAACAGCTAGAGCCCTAAAGACCCTGAAGCTCTAAACTCCATCAACCCCGAGATAAAGTCCCGAAACCCCCCCCCCCCCCCCAAAAAAAAAAAAAAAAATCACCAACATCCCAAACAAAAAGCACCAAAAAAAAAACCTATAAACCTTTAAAGGGCCCAAAAACCCTAAACCCTAAACCCTCAACCCCCACATCCCAAGCAAAAAGCCCCCAAAACCCTCTAAACCCCTAAAGGCCCCTAAACCCTAAACCCTGAACCCCTATAGGCCTCTGTTCTCCAGAACATCTTCGGCAAGGTCTGGCCAGGGGGAGTGAGTTTAAGGTTCAGCGTGTAGGGTTTAGGGTTTAGGGGTTTAGGGTTTAGGGGTTTAGGGTTTAGGGGTTTAGGGGTTAGGGTTTAGGGGTGTAGGTTTATGGTGGAGGGTTGAGGCTTGTGGCCAAAGCTGTTTTTTGAGGATTGGGGTGACGTAGTAAGTAGACAGAGTACCCGAGTTCCGACTTAAAAACTCTACTGCATAACTACTGCAGATGAGTCCGGGGCGTGCGTGAGCATCCACCATGTAGTGTGTAAAAAGGGTTCGCTTCAGGCCGCTAAATGAAAGCCCAACAACGCCGAAGCTTGAACGTTACGATGGAAACGAGCGCCAAGACTCAACAATTCTCAAAATAACCTCACACCAGGACGGGCTATTCGACCCTACAACCCCTTAACAAGGCCCTTTATAAGGCTGAATGTAGGGATTCTAAGGCCAAATAGACCATCCTGGTAGAATCTCTTCTGGTAAACTCATGGTCAACGGTCCTGCTTGTGAGGGTGGCACGAACAAACAAAACGACTACCAGGCCTACGGGATCAAAGGGTTTAGGGTTTAGGGTTTAGGGTTTAGGGTTTAGGGTTTAGGGTTTAGGGCTAGGCCTGAACTGTTCAGAGCCGGGGTGTGCCACTTGGGTTGAAGAGGCCGATGAGTATAGCATGCTGTGGGAGACATGGTAATGTATAGGCTCCAGGGTTTAGGGTTTAGGGTTTAGGGTTTAGGGTTTCGGGTTGCTCCGTCTGGTTTGCGGTAGCAAGGGCTCCTTCTTTGGAAATCGTCTAGACCGGCTGAAAGCATTAACCCATGACATAACCCAAGGTGGTGTCCGCGGGCCCCAGGAACCTAGGAGAAACAAAGGGCACGCTTTTCGGCTTTATTTGGTTTGTACAAGGGATCCTAGGCTTAAACCCTAAACCCTAAGCCCTATAAGACTATAAGCCTATAACCCTAGAACTCTAGACCCCAAGAACCCTAGAACCCTAAAACCCTAGAACCCTAAACCTTGGAACCCTAAACCCTAGAACCCAAAAAGGGAATCGAGGGTACTCCTGGGACCCTAAACCCCAAACCCCAAACCCCAAACCCGGAACACTAAACCCTAAACCCTAAACCCTAAACCCTAAACCCCAAACCCCAAACCCTAAACCCTAAACCCTAAAAGCTAAGCTTAAATTTCGGACGTGCGAGGCGCATCCATGTCACCTGGGTCGGTGCGCTCCTCGACGTTCCTGGGCTGACTCTGCGTCTGGTTTGGGGTTTAGGGTTTAGGGTTTAGGGTTTAGGGTTTAGGGTTTAGGGTTTAGGGTTTAGGGTTTAGGGTTTGGGGTTTAGGGCTCAGGGTTTGGGGTTTGGGGTTTAGGGTTTAGGGTAAGACATAGGCCCCAAGTGCCGTAAATCAGGCGTGTTCAGGGCTTTAAAGCCCAGCGACTTTGGTTCTCACACCCGGAAATTCCCCAAGAACCAACCAAGAATAGCCCAACCTGTAAACCCAAAACCCGAAGCCTTGAACCCCAGTGAACTAAACCGTTAGGGATTAGGGTTTAGGTAGGGTCTAGGGTTTAGGGCTTTTAGGGGGTTTACAACAGGGTTTAGGGTTGATGGTCCGAACGTGAGAGACTCAAAGGGAAGGGGATTGCTTGCAGGGCGGAACAACAAACGCTTGGGGCTCCAACTGCATACCCCTTCCAAACCCAAGAAACCCCGAAGCCCTTAACCCCAAACCGAAATCCTTGAATGCCACCCGAGCCAAACCCTGAGCCCGGAAATCGCCTCGAACCCTACGACTTGAAAACCGCAACAAAACGATTTTTTCGAACCTAAACCCTAAACCCTAGAAAGCCTAGAAAGCCTAGAAACCCTGGAAACCCTGGAAACCCTGGAAACCCTGGATAGTAGAAACCCTAGAAACCCTGGAAGCCCTGAACCTAAACCCTAAACCCTAAACCTACAAGGCCTATTCTCGTGAATCAAACCGAGTGTCTCTGAGACCCTAACCCCTAAACCCTGAACCCTGAAGCCTAAACCCTAAACAAAAAAACCCAAACCCAAAACTCTAAACCCTAAACCCTAAACCCTAAACCCTAAACCCTAAACCCTAAACCCTAAACCCTAACCGAGGGACTCTGAGCTGACGGGGGCCCAGAAGCTTGGCCAGCCGGTGCCACCTCTGGCTTTTGGGGTTCAGGGTTTAGGGTTTAGGGCTAGGGTTTAGGGTTCAGGGTGGAAGGCTAGGGTTTAGGGTTTAGGGTTTAGGGTTTAGGGTTTAGGGTTTAGGGTTTAGGGTTTAGGGTTTAGGGTTTAGGGTTTAGGGTTTAGGGTTTAGGGTTTAGGGTTTAGGGATAAGCGCTTAGGGCTTAGGGTTTAGGGTTTAGGGTTCAGGGCTTTTGGGGGTTTTCTGGTGCCACCTCTGGCCTTTGGGGTTTAGGGTCTTTGGGGGTTTAGGGGGTTTAGGGTTTAGGGTTTAGGGTTTAGGGTGTTTAGGGTTTAGGGTTTAGGGTTTAGGGCTTTTGGGTGTTTAGGGTTTAGGGAGTTAGGCGGTTCAGGGTTTAGGGTTCTGGGTTTAGGGATTGGGGTTCGGGGTTTAGGGTTTTGGGTTCGGGGTTTAGGGATTGGGGTTTGGGGTTTAGGGTGTGGGGTGTGGGGTTTAGGGTTTAGGGAATGGGGTTTAAGGTTTAGGTAGGGCTTGGGGTTCAGGGTTTAGGGGTTTATATAGGGGTTTGGGGATTGGGGATTTGAAGTGGTTTAGGGGTTTAGGGTTTGGGGAGCTTTAGGGGGTTTAGGGTTCAGGGTTTGGGATTTTAGGGGTTTAGATATAGGTTTTTTTGTTGGGTTTTAGGGTTTAGATATTTCTGTGTAGCCGGTTTAGGGATTTCAAGGTCTAGGATTTAGGGTTTCGGGTTTGAGGTCTAAGGTTTATTAGGTTCAGGGTTCAGGGCTTAGGGGCTTAGGGTGTTTAGGGCTTTGTGTTTTGTGTTTGTAGGTCTCTGGGGTGTTAGGGTTAGGGCTTAAGGCTTTAGAAGCTGTAGGGCGTTTAAGGCTTTGAGGGCGTCGGGGGCTTTAGAGGTTTCAAGGCTTCAGGGCTTTTAGGGCCTTGGGGCTTTAGGGGCTACTTTAGGGCTTTCGGGCGTTAGGGGTTTTTAGGGTTTACGGTCTAGGGCTTAAGGGGTATATTGGGTTTGGGGGGTTTAGGGGTTTAGAGGGGTTAGGGGGGTTTTTGTTTAGGGGGGGGGGGGGGGGGGGGGGGGGGGGGGGGGGGGGGGGGGGGGGGGGGGGGGGGGGGGGGGGGGGTGGCGGGAGGGGGGGCGGGTGCGGGGGCGGAGCCCTGAACCAGGGTTTGGGGTTTCCAAAATTAGGGTATCTTATTGGGGTCATTCTTATAATGAAACCCTACTATTTGGGGGGTCTTGATTTGGGGTCCCTTATTTTCTTTTCGTAAACCCCATATTCCCTAATAGCCCTGAACCCCCACCCCCCAAAACGTCAACCCCTGACCTGAAACTTAAAACCTCAGAACCTGAACAGTTTGCAAGCCCGTTTTTTAGGGTTATAAGGAGGGATGTTTACCTTTTCTCGTCCCCCGTATACCGAAGTAGCCCCTAATTAGATACCCCTTAAGATCCCCTAGAAAAGTCCCTCCTTAACTCCTTTGACCAGAACGCATCAAAAACTCAGAAAGCCCTGAACCCTAAACCCGAAACCATGAAGAAGGAGAACCAAGGGCCCGCAAAAATGAGCCAGTGAGGGTTCAGGGTTTAGGGTTTAGGGTTCAGGGTTCCCCTCTGCCCTATACACACCCTAAACCCTAAACCCTAAACCCTAAACCCTAAACCCTAAACCCTAAACCCTAAACCCTAAACCCTAAACCCTAAACCCTAAACCCTAGACCGAATCCAGAGCGAGGTGCTGTTGTACTTCGCCTTAGAGGAGAACAGGGGGAGGCCGCTGATCGGCGAAACGTAGGTACCCTCCTCCTTGTTGTCCCAGCCCTGCAGTGGATCGCCAGGCTTCTCAGGTTTACCTTTAAGACAGGGTTTAGGGTTTAGGGTTTAAGGTTTATAGGGTTTAGGGTCTAGGGTTTAGGGTTTAGCGTTTAGGGGAGGCCCGAAACCATTCTTGTTGTAGTAAACCTAGGAAAAGCCCAGTAACCGGAGGCATGAGCCTACTCGCATGCTGCGCCCTAAACCCTGTAATGCCCTAGTTGTGGTGGGACTCGGGAGTGCTTCGCGAGCTCGAATTCGCTTAGGCTTCTACCCCCAAAAACCCTAAACCCAAATTCCAAACCCTGGACACTAATCTCTAAACCCTAAACACCACACCCAAAACCCAAAACCTGAAACCCTAAACCCCTAAACCCCAAAGCCTCCCTCAAGAACCCTATGACTCTCGCAGCCGTGCCACGTAGCCGTTGGTGGTCTTGCCAGTGAAGGCTGGCTCAGTCGCTGCCTGACAACCAGCGCAAGAAGCACCCAACCGCAAATTCTAAAACACTCAACCCTAAACCCTAAACCCTAAATCCTAAACCCTAAACCCTAGACCCTGAACCCTGAACCCTATACCTAAACTCTAGACCCTCCCTAAACCGCCACACCAACCCTCAACCCCCGACCCTGAGCGGAAAGCCGCAAAGTCCTAAACGCTACCAAGACCGTCCTTAAACCCCCTTACCCATGAAGCTGCTCACCTTGGAGCCCTAACCCCAGCCCCAAACCGTAAACCCTACACCCCAAAACCTACACCGAAACCTCAGGCTCCAAACCCTTAACCCTCATCCCGAAATCCGAAACCCGAAAACCCTACGTGCCGGTCACCGGACTGGCCTCCAGCAGAACCCGTTTCTCGAAGGGACCTGAAAATACGAGGAGGGGCGGTTTAGGGTTTAGGGTTTAGGGTTTAGGTTTTAGGGTTTAGGGTTTAGGGCTTAGGGTTTAGGGCTTAGGGACTTAGGGAGAAAGGGTTTACAACGCCAAGAGGAGGTTGAAGCTTCTTTTTTTTCTCGATGTCTTTTGGGGTTTTAGGGCAAGCAAACTCCAGAAGTCTAAGCTTGTTTGCGTAGAGACCCTAAACCCTAAACTAAAACCCTAAACCCTAAACCCTAAACCGGAAACCCTAAACCCTAAACCCAAAGGACCCTGGGTGGACTTCTCAAGTCAAGCATCTCAGCGGCTTGGCTGCTTCTGCCACGGCGGCGTCGCTCATCTCCTGGCAAGCGCCTACTTCGGGTTTCGACTTAGGGGGGCATAAGGGTTCCATTTCCCTAATAAACCCTAAACCCTAAACCCTAAACCCTAAACCCTAAACCCTAAACCCTAAACCCTTCATAAAATGAGGAGCTAGCTATGCAGGTCTTGAACCTAGCCGCATGGAAGACTCTGCGAGTAGATGAAGTTTCCCAGCCAGTGCTTTGGGACATGTGATGGCACCTTCTCCTTACCAAAACCTACATCCAAAAGCCTAAGTAAGCCCTAGACAAAGCCCTAAACCCCACTAAACCCTAAACCCCAAAACCCTAGCCCCCGCCAGGAAAGCCACGAAGACTAGTCGTGACTAGCCCGCGCTGGAACCCCAGAATCCAAATCGTGACTAAACCCGAAACTTCGGCGGGAACCCAAAACCCAAGACCCTAAACCCTAAACCCTGAACCCTAAAATCACTTCTGCTCCTCGACGGCCCGTGCGCGCGGAGCGAGCACCCTGGGCAACTCTCAACCTCTAGAAGTCCCTAGGGTTTAGGGTTTAGGGTTTAGGGTTTAGGGTTTAGGGTTTAGGGTTTTGGGTTCAGGGTGTAGGGTGTAGGGTTTAGGGTTTTAGGGTTTCGGGCTAGACCCAAGAATAGCCCAGCAAAATGAAAGGGTTCGTACCCTTTCTGCTTTAAAGGGGCTTAGTTATACGGGAAACCCGAGAAAAGGAAAAAGGCCCTGTGTACCCTGGGCAACTCTCAACCTAGTGTTTACGGCTTTCGGGCTCCGTGTTCGGGGTTAAGGTTGAAGGTGGACTGGGTTGAGTTAACTTGAGGTAAGCTACTACATACTGTGCCTGGGCTCAGGGCTGGGGGTGTAGGATTTGGGGTTTAAGGTGTACGGCTCAGACTGTTATATACCTACGCATGGGATTGTAATCTAAAGTCCTTTGCAGCAACCCGGTTTAGGGTGCGAGCTCAGAACCAGTAAGCTTTCTTGGAGGACCGGGTGACATATGTGACATTGTCGGGTACAAAGCAGAGTTGTAAGCGCCTGGAAACAACCCTGCTTAAACTACATACTAGGTCACTCGACGGAACGAGAACATGCACGGAACAACGTGCTATCGCGAACCAAGCCTAGATTGCTAGTTTCTCCAAACCCTAAACCCTTAAACAAACCCTAAACCTCAAAATACAAAACCCTAAGCCACTTTGGGAGTTGACATGTGTCAGGCGAAGCAAAGATTGCGCACAACCATTGCAAAGGCGTGAGCGGCCTGTCTGCACTACTCCATCGTAGATCGCGCATTTTTCGCTGGTGCATATGAAGTAGGGTATATATTTCTTATACCCCCAAAAGGACACCCGGTATATACACTCACTAATATTAAAAAGGACCCTTATACACACTCACCAAAAACAGTATTTCAAACCCTACTTCATATCCTCTTGCTTTTGCTTCAAAAACCACAAGAACCTGAACCCGAAGCACCATAAACCTAGCTAAACCCTGAACCCCAAAATCCTCTGCCCTAATTAAGCTCTAAACCACACAAGCCTGGGACCACTGTAGACCCAAAACCCCGTAATGTACCGAGACATCAAGCAAGGCATCCGCCCCGTCCAAGGAAAACAAGGTTTATCTTGTACCATTAGTTCGACAATGTCTCGCCGAAGCATGCAACTGATCCCACAGACCTGATATTCAGTTTAGGGTTTTAGGGTTAACGGTTTAGGGCTCACTTTGAACTCAAAAACTCTCTCTAAACCCTTAGCCCCCACTTACACGAAGCCTGGCAGGACGTCAAATTCCATAGCTTCACTTGAAGATGGGTTTTCGAGAAGCAAAGTCTTAGAGCTAATTAGCATCATCAACCCTGTCCTACTTTAGTCCAAGCACAAAGCCCAAAAGCCTGAAAGCCTCAAAAACCCTCACAACCCTGAAAACCCTCCAAAATCCTCGACACCCTGAAAACCCCAGGCACCCTCAAAATACTGAAAAAACCGAAAAGCCCCACAAACCTGAAAACCCTAAACACCCTGATGACCCTGAAAACCCAAAAACCCTCTCAAAAACCCGAAACACCCTAAAACCCTGAAAACCCTAAACGCCTTCAGCACCTTAAACACCCGAAAAATCCTAAATCCTCAGCCCTCAACCCCTAAACCCCTAAACCCTAATTAAACAATCCTGAACCCTTTCATGCGGTTCATTGGACCCCAGAGATGAATGTAGGATGTGGGATTCCAGACCAAACCGTGTTGGGCTTCGGATCCGTAAGGTGAAAGGCCTGTCGGGGTTTAGGGTGTAGGGTTTAGGGTTCAGGGTTCAGGGATTTGGGCGGCTGGGTTCGTTCATGGGTTCAGCGGGAGCTTAGGTTTATTTGGTCGTCAAAGTCATAAGCTCAACAGAAAGGTCAAAGCTCAATGCCCTCTGTGCCAGGGGCTGAGGTTTGGGGCTTAGGGTTTGGGGTTAGACTGCAGGGTTTAGGGGTCGGCAGCCTAAACGCTAAACTCTAAACCCTAAACCCTGAAGCCGGGCCACAGCAATGCCAGCGCCGCCACCACGGAGGCCCGTCGCGTCCGGGATGCTGAGGACGACATGCTGGGCTCCTTGTGGGGGGGGGGGGGGGGTTTAGGGTTTAGGGTTTAGGGTTTAGGGTTTAGGGTTTAGGGTTTAGGGTTTAGGGTTTAGGGTTTAGGGTTTAGGGTTTAGGGTTTCGGGTTTGGGTTTCGGGTTTCGGGTTTCGGGTTTAGGGCTACATGACCCTTATTTTGGTCCCTAACCTCCCTTAAAGGGTTCTGATGCATGGGCTAGGGTTTAGGGTTTAGGGTTTCGGGTTTAGGGTTTAGGGTTTCGGGTTTAGGGCTTAGGGCAACCCTTAGTTTGCATAGGCTAGAAAAGGGTTCTCCCCTGGAGGGCCCACACTGAGGGACCATGTAAGTACCCTTAGAAGGAACCCCCACAAGCCAAGGACCTGCTCCAGGCCTTGTGAAGGTCCTGGTGTTTAGGGCTAAGGTTTAGGGTTTAGGGTTTAGGGTTTAGGGTTTGGGGTTTAGGGTTTAGGGTTTAGGGTTTAGGGTCCCTAAACCCTAAACCCTAAACCCTGAACCCTAAACCCTAGACCCTAAACCCTGAAGAACAAAAACCAAAAGATACCCTAAGTTGCCAAACCTACACCCTAAACTGGCGCCTGCTCCGGCATGGCCCCCGGCCCTTCCATTCGCCGCAGGTTTGGCCTGTGGAGGGCTTGGCTCAGGGTTTAGGATTTAGCGCGAGGGTTTAGGGTTTTAGGGTTTTTTAGGGTTTTTTAGGGTTTTTTAGGGTTTTTAAGGGTCTTTTCGGGTTTTCGGGTTTTAGGGTTTTAGGGTGTAGGGGCGGAGGGGATGCGAAACACAGCCCGGTCTTCTCTCCTAAGCCCCCTAAAAGAGCCCTATACCCTAAACCCCAAACCTGCCAAAAACTCAAAACTCTTAAAGCCCAAGCCCTACCAAGACGCAACCTACAACAAACTCCACACCCCCCCCCCCCCCCCCCCCCCCCCCCCCCCCCCCCCCCCCCCCCCCCCCCCCCCCCCACCCCCCCCCCAGCCCTCCCCCCCCCAAAAAAAAACATGGAGGTTCATGATACCCAAGCACAGCTGTACATTCTAGCCCAATTATAGCCCTATTTGGGTTTCGGGTTTAGGTTAAGGGGTTAAGGTTGCAACCCTGTTAGGGTACTCTGGGGGCTTACCCTAAACCAACCCTAAACCCTAAGCCCTATAGGCCATACACCAGAAACGTCCTAAGCATCCTAAAATCAGCTAAACAACCTGCACTCCTTAAAGCACCTAAGAACTCCACACCCGAAACCCAAAACCCTAAACCCTTATGTCGAGGGAGGGTAACCCAAGGAAGGAGCCATAATTTCCCCAGGCCCTAAACCCTAAACCCTAAACCCTAAACCCTAAACCCTAAACCCTAAACCCTAAACCCTAAACCCTAACAGCTTGAGCTTCTTACACATGCCCGAATCTCGAGAGCTGCCCGAGCAAGACTGTTGGCATGGACTGAACAAGGTCGTATCACGCACATGGGAGACAAACCCTAAACCCTAAACCCTAAACCCTAAACCCCAAACCCTAAACCCTAAACCCTAAACCCTAAACCCTGAGGGGCGATCTAAGATAGCGCCTGGAGGCTGCTTGCCCTGGGGCAATGAAGGCAGGCCCGAAGCATGCCTCATTGTCGCGAGCAGGATACTCCCTAAACCCTAAACCCTAAACCCTAAACCCTAAACCCTAAACCCTAAACCCTGCTGATTGTTGCATAGGGTTGAGGCTTTACCTAAACCCCCCAAAATATGTAAAACAATGTGGCGCTTTTCATGGTTTGTGGGCAATGTTTTTGTTGCATACTTTGGGGTTCCAGGTAGGGTTTAGGGTTGATTCAGCGTGTTGTGTGGGTGCCGGAGCAGGTTTTTGTTGGGGGGTGGGTGGGGGGGGGGGTGTGGAGGCAGGATCTCACAAATTCGCTCCAGCCCCTAAACCCCAAACCCCTAAACCCGTATACCCTAAACCCCGTTTAGGGTTCAGTGTTTAGGGCTTAGGGCCCGAGTAAGAGGACGCCGGTTGCTTTGATGAGTGATTTGAGGGAACCGGGCAACGTCGAAGAAAGTTTCCCCCCAAAAGTGCACCGAGCTTTTGCGACTCCCGCCCCTTCCCGAACGACGCCCTAAATCCTCAACCCTAAGCCCTAAGCCCTAAACCCTAAACCCTAAACCCTAAACCCTGATACTACCCTAAACCCATTCCCACCCGGGCACACCAACACACAGCGCCACGGCTGCTAACATCACTCGAAGAGTTGGGCGTGACGCCATGGTGACGCGGGCAGGCGAAAATCGGCTGAGATCCTAAACCCTAAACCCTAAACCCTAAACCCTGAACCCTGAACCCTGAACCCTCTCGACTTAGAATCCCTAACATCCCGTCCTTACATGCCGGCTACAGCCCTTTGCCTGAAAATCCGCGAGTGCGCGTGGACCGCTCTTCACGCACAGAAGCAGCTGAGCTGAACACCAGGGAGGATATTGGGTTTAGGGTTTAGAGTTTAGGGTTTAGGGTTTGGGGTTTAGGGTTTAGGGTTTAGGTTTAGGGTGTAAGGTTTAGGGTTCAGGGTTTAGGAGCTATGAAGCCTCAACTTGGGTTTAGAGTTTAGGGTTTAGGGTTTTGGAGTTCAGCAAGCAGCTAGGAAGCCTCAAGTTGGGTTTAGGGTTTAGGGTTTAGGGTTTAGGGTTTAGGGTTTAGGGTTAGGGTGTAAGGTTTAGGGTTCAGGGTTTAGGAGCTATGAAGCCTCAACTTGGGTTTAGAGTTTAGGGTTTAGGGTTTTGGGGTTCAGCAAGCAGCTAGGAAGCCTCAAGTTGGGTTTAGGGTTTAGGGTTTAGGGTTTAGGATTTGGGGTTTCGGGTTTAGGGTTTAGGGTTTAGGATTTGGGGTTTAGGGTTTAGGGTTTAGGGTTTAGGATTTGGGGTTTAGGGTTTAGGGTTTAGGGTTTAGGATTTGGGGTTTAGGGTTTAGGGTTTAGGGTTGAAGCTTCAGGTTGGGCTCGCACACCCTTGGAGTACGACCCCCATATGTAGGAGATTCTGAACTCCGAATTAGGGTTTAGGGTTTAGGGTTTAGGGTTTAGGGTTTAGGGTGTAGGGTTTAGGGTTTAGGGTTTAGGGTTTAGGGCTAGGGCGGCTAGGGCTTGCCAGGCACCCTCAACCCTAAACCCCCTAACGCCGAACTCAGAAGCCCCTTAGACCAAAGCTCTAAACCGAAAATCCCCATAACCCCCCTAAACCCTAAAACCTAAACCCTAAAACCTATAAACCCTGGAAACCCAAAAAACCCACAAACCCTGAACCGTAAGCCGTAAACGTAAACCCCGCAAACCCTGTACACCCTGCACACCCTATAAACCCTAGAAACCCTAGAAGCCCTACAAACTACAAACCCGATCAGCCCGATAAACCCGACAAACCCTCTAGACCCTTTAAACCCCAAAGCCTGTAACCCTTAACCCTATAAACCCAGAACCCTAAGCAGGCCCTGTTATACACCTAAACCCTGTGAACGAACCCTACGGCCTGCAAACCCTGAACGCTAAACGCAAACCCCTACAAACCCCTAAACACTATGAATCCTCGAATCCTGTAACCAACCCCTAAACCCTAAACCCTAAACCCTAAACCCTACTGGGGCAGTCGCATCGGCTTGCTCACCGCGCCGACGGCCGAGTCCAGCGCCACCTGGTAGTTGCGGGGATCTGGGCCGAAGGGTTCAGGGCTTGGGGTTCAGGGCTTGGGGTTTGGGGTTTAGGGTTTAGGGTTTAGGGATTGGGGTTTGGGGTTTAGGGTTGAGGGTTGAGAGGGTTTGGGTTTGGGGTTTAGGGTTTAGGGTTTAGGGTTCAGGGTTTAGGGCGTGAGTACACACTGACACTCTCGGAACAGGGCTTAGGGTTTTGGGTTCAGGTGTTTCGGGTCTCCCTCAACCCTAAACCCTAAACCCTAAAGCCTAAAGCCTAAAAAACGTGCACTAGGACTTGTGGCAGCAAACTGAGGCTTCCAAGGGACCCCACAAAGGCCAACCGAGAAGAAAAGAGTAACAAAGCCTAGCCTAAACCCTAAAAAAAAACAAAAAAACCCTAAAAGCCCTTAAATCCTAAAAACCCTAAAACCCCTACAACCCTAAACACCCTAAAAACAACCCTGAACCCTAAAACCTCTAAACGTCCTAATTTCCCTAAAAACCCCCAAAAAAACCCAAAGAAACCCTCAAAGCGGTTTAGGGTTTAGGGCTAGGGTTTAGGGTTGTTGAGGGTTGAGGTTTAGGGTTTAGAGGGGGAGATTAGGGTTTAGGGGCTGAGGGTCTAGGGTTTAGGGCTGAAGGTCCAGGGTTAGGGCAGTTAGGGCTTCGGGCCTGGCAGGGCGCGGGGAGGTGTAAGGCTTAGGTAGGGTTTAGGGTTTAGGGTTTAGGGTTTAGGGTTTAGGGTTTAGGGTTTAGGGTTTAGGGTTTAGGGTTTAGGGTTTAGGGTTTAGGGTTTAGGGTTTAGGGCTTAGGGTTTAGGGTTTAGGGTACCTCGAAATATCGAACCAAAATCTCCCCCAAAAAAACAACAAAAAGAAGGATCAAAATGCATCTGAGAGGCCGAAGACTCGAGGCTCTTTCCATCAAGCCACTTGGGCTATGAGCTGCAGGGCCCACGATGCCTAGACAACAATTGCTCAGCGCCATTTTTTCCTTGCGCTGTATAGGGTATACAAGGGCTACATAAGGGGTCCCCCTTCTAAAGGGTCCATACTGTTAGGGGCCTACGATGCTTGGAGACAGAATTGCGCGGGGCCCATTTTGTTGCCTTGGCAAGCTCAACTACCTCATCGCGGGTCTCTTGAGAGCCAGCGGCTTTGGCCCGACTTTGGCTTTGGCCTTGGCCTTGGCTTTGGCCTTGGCTTTGGCCTTCTTGGCTTTGGCCTTCTTGGCTTTGGCCTTGGCCTTGGCTTTGGCCTTGGCTTTGGCCTTGGCCTTCGACTTGACTTTTGCCTCAGCCTCGGCCTCAGCCCTGGCCTCAGCCTCCATCCGGTCATCCTCTTGTGTTCTGCCGAGTTGTCTTCGCACGCTCCTGCTATCGCCACCATGTGCCGAGGAGCCCCATGTCACCACGGATCCATCACCACGGATGGCGGCAAAAGCGCCATACGTGGCTTGAATGCATTTGACATTCCTGAGTTGTCGCTGCACACTGGCGCTGTCGCCGCCGTCCATTTTGTCACCCCAAGTAACCACACGCCCATCATCACGTATCGCAGCGAAAGCACACAGGGATGCTTGTATGTCTCGGACATGCTGCAGCTGCATCTGAACGGCACGGCCGCAACCGCCGCGTTCTTTGTGTCCCCATGTCACGACGGATCCGTCTGACCGAATCGCTGCAAACGCGTTGCCAGTAGCCTGAACTCGCACAACCTGCCGGAGCTGTTCTTGCACACAGGTGCTGCTTTTGCTGGGATGCCCAAAAGCCACGGCGGTGCCGTCACTGAGAAGTGCAACTGCAGCACTACCACAATGGTCACCCAAACATAGGTTCTCATCACTCAAGCGCTTGATGCCCACAACACCTCTTAGGGTTTAGGGTTAGGGTTTAGGGTTTTAAGGTTTATAGGGTTTAGGACTTTAGGGTTTAGGGTTCCTTTGCCCACAACACCTTGACATTCGCTGGTGTACTTGCCCCAGGTGGACATACGCCCATCGGATCCAACAGCAACCAAAGAGTCGGCGAAATACTCGAGCTGCTGAATGTCTTGGAACCCCGTCTCATACACGCGCATACCTGGCTCGAAGTCCGTTCCCCAGTAAACCACTTGTCCGCCTGCTTTAATGGCTGCGAAGCCAGCCCAGCAGGCATGTATACGTAGAACATGCCTGAGGTGGCTGCGAACTGCATAGCTGTCACCCCCGTGACAGCTGTCACCCCATGTTACCACCACGCCATCAGCACGCAAGGCAGCAAAAGCGTGATCCGAGGCTTGGATAGAAGCGACATCTTTCAGTTGCTCCTGAACACCTTCGCAGCTGCCACCAGAATCGGTATCACCCCAGGCTACCACAGAGCCGTCAGCCTTGATGGCCGCAAAAGCCTCACTGCTTGCCTGCATGTGGCGCACATCGTGGAGCTGGCGCTGGACATGCTGACTGCAGCCACCACATTTTGTGTGGCCCCATGTCACGACAGACCCATCTTCACGAAGTGCGGCGAAGGCTCGGGTGTTTGCTTGAATCTCACGCACATTCTGCAGCTGATGCTGCACAGCTTTGCTGTTGCCACCGCTGGACGGGTCTCCCCAAGTCACCACCGAGCCATCTGCCCGAATGAGGGCGAATGCGGATGCAGTTGCTGCCACAGCGACGTGCCCAGCAACAGCTGTGATCGTATCACCATCCCGGATTCCAGCTTGCCTGAGGGTCCCTTGGCCCGTAAGCAAGGCCCCTGCCGCCGTGATCAGCTTGCCGAGGTGAGTCCCTAACACAGCTTCTGCCCTGGTCCGAAGCGCTTCAAGCCGAGACTCAGGGTCCAACTGGATGGACACGCGGGAGCCGCTCAACAACACGACGCCCACGGAGATGGACATGTCGCCAGCGGCTCTCTGACAGACTCTACGCCCTGAATGGTTTGTTTTGGGGTTAGGGTTTAGGGTTTAGGGTTTAGGGTTTGGGGTTTAGGGTTTAGGGTTTAGGGTTTAGGGTTTGGGACCTCAAATCACAGCTGGGCCCTAGAACAACCCTCGAGCAAAGAAATCTTTCGGTCTCACTAATATGGTGCAGTTGTGTGACAACACACCCTCATCAACGACATCATCAAACCCTAATCCCTAAACCCTAAACCCTATACCCGACTCCTGACCCTATTTAAACAAAGAGGATTTAGGGTTTAGGGTTTAGGGCTTAGGGCTTAGGGTGTAGGGTGGGCCAACACGGTAGAAAAGAGAAACGTTAATCGTGCAGGACGTCATCATCACCATCATCATCATCATCATCTTCTTCTTCTTCATGACAATCGTGAAAGCCCACAAGCAAGCCAATCATCATAATGACCCAGCTACCATACTATAGTCAGGGTACGTTTTTTTTCGGGTTGGCTGCTGAAAGGGCACCACTGGGGCGACCAAGCCCTCAACAATAAGCCCTAAACCCTAAACCCTAAACCCTCAACCCTAAACCCCAAACCCTAAACCCCAAACCCTAAACCCTTCAGATCATTACCAAGCAACCCAAGCAATGGAAAAGCATTCAGCGAAAGGACACCACCCCAGCCTTGTGTGCGAAGAGCAGCGCAAACTTC